TAATGATTATTTGATGTTTGCATGTTGAATTTCTTATTTTTAGTTCATCTCTTTTGAATTTCTGTTTTTTTTTTTTTTTGGTTTTTTTGAGTTTAGGGTTCAAGTGCGAAATTTAGTTCGAAATTTTGTGTTTATTATGATTATTAAGATTAATTTAGTGCGAAAATTTGTGTGGTAGGGTGGGTTGGGGTGGGGTTATGGTGGGGTTACGGTGGTACGGTTCTGGTGTGTGGGGGTTAAGGGTTAAGGGGTGGCAGTGGGGTGGGGTGGGGTGGGTTGGGGTGGTGAGCTGGGGTTTTTGGGATGGCTGGATGGAAAATTGTGAATGTTGATGGGGTTGTCGGGAGTGGAGATGGGGTTTTCGTGGTGGCTGGTAGGGTCACCGAGAGTGGAGATGGGTTTTCGGGGTGGCTGGGTGGTGTTTTGGATTGGAGGGGGTTTTGGAGTGGTTGAGTGAGGTTATTCCGGCGGGAATGGAATTTGTGGGGTGGATTCCATGGTTGGAGTGTCAGGGAAGGCGGCTAGGGGTGGGGCTGCCAATGATGCTGGTTGTGTTGTGTTGTGTGGGCAGTGGAGGATCTAGGTATTGACATAAATTTCAGAAAGTTGGTTGTGTTGTGTTGTGTTGTGTTGTGTGGGCAATGCCTCTCTCATTTTTTTCTTAACATAAATTTCAGAAAGTTGAAAGTATTTCTAATGTGTATTGATATTTCTAATGTGTATATATGGACACTTTTTAAGCTAACTTATACTTTAAAATTTGTGTTTATTCCTGCTAGGCTGCTAAAAGTATGGACTCAGATTATTAAGATTAAATAAGTTGGCTAACCTGTGTGTAGTTCAGGGGTTCTTATTTTTGTTTTTATTCTTGCAGGGAGTGAAGGAAGTCAAGGAACCACGGATTCTTATTCTTGCAATGTAAGTTGCTCTTAAATTTTTTTTATAAAATGGTATGTGTATATAATTGTTACTTTAAAATTACTTATATTGTATATAATTATATTGTAGATGGAGAGCTCTCAATCCAAACGGTCTGCTTCTTTTTCTGAACAAACGTCACAGCCACTTTCTGAAAAGGATATGGAAGAATTGCAATCTACTTTGCCTCCTGATAAGAAGCTAAAAGCGGGGCGGGAATATATATGGAACAGAAAAAGTAAGAGGAAAGCTGAGTATTGGAAATATTACTTAGAGTACGTCGAGAATGGAAAACTACGAGCTGAATGTAAGTTCTGTCCTAAAACTTTTGCTGCTGATGGTAATCTTAATGGTTCAAAAAATGTTAAAAACCATGCAGAATCATGTCTCGGTAATCCTATTAATATAGAAAAAGAAAAGGGCAAAGAAAAGCAAACTAAATTGTATTTTGATCAAGAACATGAGAGTAGTGAATTAAAGTGTGGGAGTAGGATTATTAACTTGAATGATGTTAGAGAGGCATTGATTCACATGATTATTGTTGATGAGTTACCATTTAAGCATGTGGAAAAACCCGGTTTTAGGCACTTTGTGCAAGTTGCATGTCCACAATTTCACATTCCATCTCGTGTTACCATTGCTCGTGATTGTTTAAAGTTGTATTATAGTGAAAAAGAGAAATTGAGAGAAATGTTTAAGACATGTCAAAGAATTTCTGTGACCACTGATACTTGGACTTCAATACAAAGAATTAATTATATGTGTCTTACAGCTCATTTCATTGATAATGACTGGAAATTGAATAAAAAGATCATAAATTTTTGTCCAATTTCTAGTCATAAAGGAGAGGCTATTGGAAAAGCAGTTGAGGCATGTTTAGAGTATTGGGGTATTGATGATAAACTTTTTACTGTCACTGTTGATAATGCTTCTTCAAATGATGTTGCTTGTGCACACTTGAGTAGAATGGTTAGAAGAACAGGATGTATAAATGATGGAAAAAATCTTCATGTTAGATGCATTGCTCATATCATTAATTTAATTGTGTGGGATGGTATTAGAGAACATGGTGTGTGCATTGATAGAGTTAGAAATGCTGTGAAATATGTTAAGAATTCCCCTGCAAGAATACTTAGATTCAAAGATCTTGTGCAAAAAGCAAACATAGATTCAAAATCTTCTTTATCCTTTGATGTCCCCACTCGTTGGAACTCCACATACATAATGTTGGAAACGGCTTTGAAGTATCGACGTGTTTTTAGTGGGTTATCTCTTCCTGATGGAGAGGATTTGAATGACAATGAAAGGCCTCCCGAACCCGAAGATTGGGAAAAAGTGGAGAGGTTGGTTTTGTTTCTAGGGGGGTTTTATCTGTTAACTAAACGAATTTCTGGTTCCCATTATGTGATAGCTAATAAAGATTTAGGAGAAATTGCTTCTATGTATGATATGTTGAATAATTGGGAACAAAGTGAGGACTTGAATTTTCAAGCCATGGCCATTGCAATGAAAAAAAAGTTTGATAAGTATTGGGGGGATGTGGATAAGATGAATAAGTTCATTTATGTTGCTTTTCTTCTCGACCCTCACTCTAAGATGGTCATTGTTGAATTGACACTAACGGATATGCATGGACCGGAAAAGGGTACAAAACTTGCTAATGATGTGAAGGAGTTCGCTTACTCTTTATTTGAGGAATATAGAAAAATGTATGCTACTTCTAATATTCCAGATTGTGGAGATAATATGTCAATGGATATTGATAATAGTAAAGGAGTGGGTTCCGATTATGTGAGGAAACTAAAAGAAAGAGCAAAACGATTGAAGGGGACAAGTGGGTATGCGATAAGTGAGTTGGATAGGTACTTAAATGATCAATTAGGGCCGGAGGAGGAAGAACAAGATGCATTGACATGGTGGGGTAAGAATGGTCAGCGTTATGTGATTCTTAATCGCATGGCACGTGACATACTAGCCATCCCATTGTCGACCGTTGCATCGGAATCTGCTTTTAGTACGGGAGGTCGTACTCTAGATCCATTTCGGAGTTCTTTAACTCCTAAGGTAATGCATCGTTATCTTTTTATTTTATAAAATCAAGTTTGTTTATATCTTAATATGACTTTGTTTATACATATTTGTGTAATATTTTTGTATTGAAGATGGTTCAAGCGTTACTTTGCACACAAGATTGGCTTAGAGCTAAGGAAGTGCCAATTGTTGATGTGGAAGAAAATTTGAAAGAGTTAGAGGAAATAGAGAAAGGTAGTAATAATTTTATGTATTTGAAATTTTGTTACACCAAATTTATTATTTCATTGTTATCAATCATTAATATATTCTATATTGTATTTTATTTAGAGGTGCAACGTGGTGAATCTAACGATGTAGACGATGAAGTTGTTTTCGTGGACTCATTAGTGTGAATCACGCGATCAAAGGGAAAACAACTCGTTGGAGAATTTATGTATTCCTAGTACTTGAGAGTTGAGACTTAAGAGAATTTATGTAATTTTATGAGTTTTCGTGGACTTATTTGTATTTTCGGTGGACTCATTTGTATTTTTGGTGTTTGAGAATCGGGACTTTATAGACTTTATGTAGTTTTGTAATTGATAATTTTGGTTTGTATGTAATTATTAAATTATGCAACAGGTCTAAAAATCACAAAACAGGTCCATATGCAGGTCCAACAGGTTTTGTATTAAAAAAAAAACGAAAAAGACACAAAACAGGTCCATTCAGGTCCAAACCCGAACCGGACCTGATTTTTCAGGTCCGGTCCCCGGTCCTCATAATTACCCAATTCAGGTCCCCGGTCCAAACAGGTCCGGTCCAGGTCCGGTCCGGTTTTGGACCGGTGTACACCCCTATCTCCACCTATCAAACTCTGTAATATAATTAACACTAATAAATTCATACAATTATAAATTATGCAGACGATATTTATTAATATTAATAGTACCGAGTATGCAGACTTGGCAGTTGGCATGTAGCATGTTCAAGGAGAGTGGTTAGGATTATATGGCCTTTTGCTTTCTCTACCCAGAAAAGAAGGCTGGGGTATTTCAGTAACTTATTCAGAAAATGAAGAGCAAATTAAAACCTTATACAGTAATCCAACAATAACACATTTCACAACCAAAGATATGCTTCACAACATTTGAAGAACAACAGAACAATCCATTAATAAAAATGCTTCACAATTTTTAAGTACTGTCCACAGAAAATTACGAGTAGGAGAGAGAAAATAAATGTAAATTGTACAAGTCTAGACAGTCGTTCAAAAAATGCAAATGAAATGACAGAGTTTAAGAGGAGTGCAGTGTGCAGAAGAGCAAGAACGATCCATCACTCAACGCAAAACACTACACACACACTAGTTCAGAATCGAAATGTAGGGACCACTAAATCAACTTTCAAACTATAAATAACCAATCACAACGCGCGTGATTTATTAAACAGTAACACGTTTCGCACATTCATTTGTCGAGTACATCTTCACACCCCTCATCACTCTTTTTTCTGCTTCTTCCCCATACGGACTTGTCACGCTCAACGACGATTCGAATATAGGACAAAAATAAAATTCGAATTACTTTTTTAAATCTAATTTTATTACTCTAATTACACTCCCCCATAAAACTTTTCCACTCACCGATGCTTTGATTCCAAACTTAATCCCCAATTAATAAAAAACAACAAATATTTGTTACACCGTTAATTAATTTTGGACACCCTTATATGATAAGAGCATAGAAAAGTGTGCTCTTACATTGAAATGTGTGTGCCAAAATCAGAAGTTTAACCAAAACCCGAAGAACTTATAAAATGAAACAAACAGAAAATTCAACCAAAACACAAAAAGACCTTTAGATAGGGACCCAATATAAGATTAACGGAAAATTCAACTGTAGGATGAAGAACATTCAGAGACGGAAGGAACCAACAGATGAACCAAAACACGAAGACGGTTTAGAGACAAAACCAACATAATATTACAAGTAAACAAAACATGAAATTTTTAGGGACTGGACAACAAAGAATTAAAACGAAACATGAAGAACCGGGACAACAAAATATTAAACACTGCCGGTCAAAAACAAGAGTAAATTTCCTTTTTTTGGTTCCAACCTCTCATCAAAAAGTGATTCAAAATTCAAAATGAATTCGGGAGACAAAGACAACCCAGAGAGACTCAGAGAGTCGTAAGCATTACGCTATCAACATTTCAGCAACTACACCCAACTAGAGGATGATTCTAACTGTTCATTCATCTTAAATCTTAATTATATCTTCTTCATCTACTAGTTTTTTTTTAATTGCTAATTAACTACCAACATTAAAAGACAACCTAACAATTAGCAGAGATCAATCAAGATCTGACGGTTGATTAGGCTTCCACCTCAGCAGGCTTAGCAGGAGTTGAGATGACCCAGAAATAACCATAGGGGTCCTTGAGCTTGCCCACGCGCCCAGCGACTTCGTCTTCCGTCACTTCGCCTTCGGCCACTGCACCAGCTGCTACTGCCTTCTTAATAGCGGCATCCAGGTCATCGGTCACCAAGCTGAATACTAGGCCTCCTCCCTCAGTTTTTGCCCTGATTTTTCAAACAACAAATTAATTAATTTTTTTTAAATAAACGGATAATAATAATTGTACGGGTAAAGAAAAGGAAGTTTCGGATTGAGAAATCAGATAGTGCACGTACAGAGTTAAAAAATACATTAATAAAATCTAGAAAAACATAATTTTAATTAATAGAAAATGTTTTATGCTGAAAATCAACAGATCTGAAGATTAGTACAGAGAAAATAAGGAAAATAGAACACTGGAAAAAATAGCGGTACAAATGAGAGAATAAAGGTAAAAAATTAAACATTATCGAGAAATTAAAAGTAGAGCAAAGTTGAAACGTCGCTTTCTGAAAAGCGATTTCTGAATGATGTTGAACAGAAATTTGAGATAAAATAGGAATAATTGAATAAACACAAACGTTAAAAATAGACACAAAATCACGTAGTCTAGAATTTTGACGTGAAATTATACCAATTATTAAGGAGATAAAAAAACTAAGCCGATGAGCGAATAAAACCAAATCGACGCAAAATTTAAATTGAGTTGATTAATCGACGGAAAACAAATTTTGACGTGAAATAAGCCGATGAAGCGAAAAAAACACAAATCGTCGCAAAATTTAACATGAGAAAATTAATCGACGAAAAACGAAGATAATCAAGTACAGACAAAATCACACAATAATCATGCATCAGTCTATCCTAGACTTATAAACACGGAAAATGCAGAAAAATCACAATAATCAAGAAAATAGACGACAAAATAGGAAGATCATTTCATCATCAGACAAAAACATACATCGGTCAAAAATCACCACTAAATCACAAAAATACAGGAAAAAGGAAATAGAGAAAAAACTTACGGAGCATCAACAGCAAGGTCAGACACAGAGAAGACAGAGGCACCGAGCTTGAGATCAGCCGAGAGAACGAGAGGAGTGTCCTGTTCAGCCTTCCTCTTAGGGTGCATGTCACGGCTAACTTCCTCAGCGCCAAAAGCAGCCTTGTAAAACTGAACAGCAGCAGCAGCGTTAGGAGCCGGAACCTGAAGTTGTGGCTTGAACGCCGAGAAAGTAACGGTTGTAGCAGCACCGTTGTTGTCAGCTCCGTTCTGAAGCTCAGTTGCCATTTCCAGAATTTTGGAGGAGAGAGAAAATGTGCAGAAACCCTAACCCTAGGAGAGAGAAAGAGAATCGAAGGAAGGAGGAAGACGAAAATGGAGGAGAGAGAAAAAGTTGAACTGAGAAATGGGTAAACGAGGTAATTGAGTTCTACCTGTGGGGGGGTATATATAGAAGCGGAGAAGCGGAACCGTTTGGGTTCTTTTAGGAATTAATCCGGGCATTTTATGATTTTATTACTTGGCCCCTCGTTTTATGAGAATTTACCAGTTTTACCCTTGAAGTTGGTTTTATAAAGAGTTAAAAATACTGACTGTGATTTTTTGTAGGTGACCTATCCTTGGTTTCTTATTGGAGTTTGGGCCCACCTTTGTAAACGGCTAGTTTTGTTGTTAATGGGCTGGTCTCACTTTTACAAGCCATCAATACAATATTACAAACCCGTTTAAAAGTTTTTTTTGGCTTATTTTTTTTTTTTTTTTTCAGCGTACGCATGTGTTATATTCGGGTTGATAATGTAGACGATATTTGAGTTATATCAATAAAGATTTAGCTGATAATCATCTAGTGATGATTGATAAATTAACATGTTTGTAGAAAATGTGCTAAAGTGAAAAGATCATTTTTTAAGTTAACGATAAATTAACATGTTTGTAGAGATGTGTTAGAATAAAAAGATCAATTTTTAAGTTAACAAAATCATTTGTTTGATACTTTTAGACTTTTTGAGGATCGATAATTAACAACGAGAACATAAAAGTTGTTAACTTGTTTTACTAAATAGTGTGAATTGATAGGGTACGGTGATACAAAAATTGAAAGTGGTATAAATCACACTTTGATTAATTCACATGATAAAGGGTGACGTTCTAAAACAATAATAAAAGAGAAGTAAATTTAAAGGAGTATCCTCACCTTATACAATGAGGGTTTTTGAGGGGCATTAATAAAATCCCCCTTTTTAATTAAAAATAAACTGCCAAAATATTATTTATTAATTTTATTTTAATATTCGTTGTTCCCCGTTGAACTTAAGCAACATTCAAAGCACTTGTTTTGACCATATATTACCAATCGATTATACGAAGTATATAATAATAAAAAAAATATATATATTTTCAAAATATTATGTTTATATAAGTCATGCTTATAAAATAATAAAATATACCAACAGAAAAAGTTGTGTATTGATAAATAAGGGTGTACACAAAGTGGCCCGCACCTGAAAACCAACCTGAATCGGACTTGTTTGGACTGAATCGGACCGGAGCCCGACTGGTGAATTCACGTCCGATCCCGGTCCTTAAAAATCCATGATTCCGAGTTTCCGGTTCGGACCGGGTAAAAACCGGAATTTTCAGGTCCGGACCTGAAAGCAGTAAAGCTGCTTTTTTTTTATTATTATTTAACAAGTCTAAACAGGTCCAAATAAGTCATTTCAGGTCCAAACAGGTCCATATCAGGTCTAAACAGGTCTAAACAAGTCCATATCAGGTCTAAACATGTCCATATCAGGTCTAAACAGGTCCATAAATAGGTCTAACAGGTTTTTTATTTAAAAAAAAAAAGACGAAACAAATTAATAATCAGGTCTATTCAGTTCCAAATTCGGACTGGACCTGATTTTTCAGGTTTGGCCGGAACCGGACCTGTTGATTCAGGTTCGGTCTCCGGTCCTTAAAAATCAATGATTCAAGTCCGGGTTAGATTCAGTCCGGTTTTGGACCGGTGTACAATCTTATTGATAAATGCATGTAGAGATGGAACAATTAAACAACACAAATGTTTTGCTTAATTTTCACGCTAAACTTATTGTTTATAGTTAGTTGTTTAATTAGTGGATGTTGTATTGAACTTCATATACATTTATATGTGCAACCATTTTTAATCAACTATTCAAGTATAAAATAAGATACTGGGATTGCAAACAACCAAGATGTGTTATAGATAGAAGTACATGAATTGCTTGATAAAATGTTATATCTAGTTATCTTTTATAAAGGAATAGAAATTAAAACCCAAAAAGACTTATCAACTAGTCTAAACCTATAATACCCAGTTGTTTTGTTCTTGGTGAATTTGCTCCTATTTCGGTTTATTTTCGTTATGAAGGCGTTTTTAGGCTTTGTAAGAAATGCGGGTGTATGGGGCGTTATAAGGAAATTTATGAGCGTTCAGATTATTTGGCTGCTCAGAGGAAGTCATGATATTTTCTGAGAGCGCAATACTAGAGTCAATCTCTTAATTTTGGCACAAAATTTCACCCTGATGATAACTCTGATTCGGATAATGCTAATTTAAATGATGATGATGATGCTCCTGATGATAATCACGGTAATGATGATAACCATGATACTGATGATGAACCTCATGATAATAATTCGGATGGGGATGATAATTCGGACTCTAATGATGACGTTGAACCTGATAATTCTGATTCAGATTCTTCGGGGTGGAGGTGATAGTAATCAACCCAACGGTGGTGAGAATCAACCTAATGGTGGTGGGAATGTCCCTGATCATAATGAAGATGATAATGACAATTTTGAACCTAATTTTATTCCCATTAATGGTGTGTATCAAAATGGTTACGTGTCTCATGCTTTGGGTGCCCTCACACCATCTATTTCTGAAGGGTTTGCTTCTGGTCAGGGGTCTGATTCTTTCACTTCTTGCGAGACAGACCCAACGACATCGGAGTCGTATCATAAGTAGACCTGTTCAACGGACCGGGCCAGGCTTTTTATGAAATGGGCCGGGCCGGGCCAAGCCAAGCCTAATACAAAATGGGCCAAGCTTGTCCATGGGACATTAAGCCCAACCCATTCAAAATGTAAAAACAAAATACAACAACCATAAAGTAAACACAATATAAGAGAATTATAAAGGGCCTTCAAGGGGCCTTATAAAGGCCTTAGCCAATAAACAAGATGAAGGCTGCAAGAAGTTCAAAACATTCTCAAAATTACCCAATTTAACAATGTTTTAACTGTTGAACCAAAATCAGATATACAACATATATATTTTCTGCTAAAAACAGCAGTTTTATGTGACTCGTCTAACTTGAAAGATTCATGTAATTATCTGGTATATGTGCATATCCTAACAAATACCATCTCCAATTCACACCAAATAGAGCGTATTAATAACAAAATCTGATATTTTTCAATTCCACTGCCCTCACAAATTAAACTCAAACGCATTTTAGCTTAGTCTGCAACAAACTTGGCTTTAAATTCTTCTGCAACTTTCCACCCACTCATTTACCACTACCATACAATTAAGTCATTCAAAAAAAACAAGATAAACAGATGTCTGAAGTAAGAACTAAATCAGAGTTTGTAAGGGAATTCCCAAAAAATCGCAACCTCTATTCATTCTTAATTAAGGAAATAGGAGTATAAAAATCAGTTACAGAGTTCAAATCAGCCAGGATGACGGTGAGCCCGCAGGTCAACAATTAGATCGGTGGGTGAGACTTTCATTGAACGACCCAAACGCCGATGAGGGTCAACGAGAGGCTCGAAGCACCGACTATGGTGATTGAGAGAATCGAAGCTGTGCCGGTGAGGGTGTGTAAAGCGCCAGTGACGATGAGAGAGAAACTCGAATCGACAGTGAGAATGAGCGAGAAACCCGAATCATCAGTGAGGTCAACGAGCAATCCGAAGCAGCGCTGGTGAGGATGATGGTGAGTGAGAGGGTCGAAGATTGAGAGCAACAGCAAGAACATTGACGTGAGTAGATTTTTTTAGGGTTTAGAAGTTGGGAATTTATTTTTAGGGTTCATAATTTGGGGGAAATTGGGAATTTTTATTTTGAAGGTATCATAATTTGATGTTAGGAAGTTTTAGAAACAGAAAGATTAGGAAAAAAAAAGCCACATAAGAGTTATCCAATTTCAGCCCTTTTTAACTTAGACCCAACCCTTTAAAAGTCCGCCCCATTCAAAAATTAGATGGATAAAAGGGATGGGTCAGGGCTTTAAATGGGCCCCTAACCCATTGAACAGGTCTAATCATAACCCTCCTCAACTCGGTATCTTGAGGAGAATAGGGCTGCTATTCCTCTAGGTGATCCGTATGCTCAATTCACCTCTCATCACTCGGCTTCTCACTCTGGTGGGGGGTTTCGTATGACAGCACCTTTGGAGGACAGTTTCTTAAGTGAAAGCTCGGAAACAAATTCTGAAGTTCCTTCGCATTTCACATCTAAAAACTCACAATCTCATTACTTTGTCGCTTCTGATTCTCCTGTTCCGATGGATACTGATGTTCCATCTCTGTTTGCGACTCAGTCAATTAATGAGGACGCTTCTTCGTTGCATTTTTCTTCTGATCTGCACTTTTCTAATAGGTTGCCCAGTAAGCCCACGGCACAAGAAACACCTCTTTCACATACTACTGAGATGGGTTGGCATAAGAAACGAAGTCGCCAAGGCCTTTTTACTCGGTGCAGGTCTTATGATCAGCTTCCTTTCTTCGGATATGCAGGTTCGACATGGTCTCAAAAACAGAGGAAAATAAAAATCTCAACATATACAGCAAAGGCGGATTCTCCTTTTTCCCACCTTCGCCTAGACGCTCTTTCCCTCAAGAAAAGTATCTAATGTTTCAGCTGCTGTAGACTTGGGTATTTATAGGCGTCTATTCGAATGCTACTACACTTTCAGCTACTTTGTCTCCTGTTTCACGTGTGCACTTTGGTTTGGGGGCTGGCCCTTCACAGCTCCTAAGGTGTCCATGATTGTTACATCATGGAATTGTCGGGGTCTAAACGACTATAACTCCCCCAAACTCCCTTATGTTATTTGGCTACCACATAAGTACAAACCTTAACTTTTTGTTTCCTAGTGAAACTAAAGTAACTGTTTCCGTTGTTTCTAGTTTACTAGGATGTACTACTCCTAGCTTTGTGAGGGGCTCGGATGCTTTAGGAACTAGTGGTGGTCTAGTCGTTTTTGGGTATGGCTCGGAAAATAATTCTTGTGTTTTTTGCTCTACAAATGTTATACTTTGTAATGTAAAAACACATAATGAAATAGATAAGTGTGTGATGATTGTTTATGGTGCTCCTGTTCTAGAAGATCGACCCCAAGTTTGGGGGTTAATTTTAGACTTGTTAGCTATATAGCACCTAAAATTT